CCACAGCCCAGAAAATTGACAAAAGTGTTAAGTTACAGGGAAATTAGAGTGAAGCAAGTGAGAAAAGAAAACAGAACAGGGGTGAAAAGTGTGCTGGTTGGGAGAAGGAGGTGTGGGTGGGAAAAATTTCACTGTAGTAAATATCCATCATAATCAAAGAGAGCTTATCTTCTGCTAACCTATGGGTTATATATAATATCTCAGATTGTGACTCATACTTGTATAGTTCTGCTTGGCTTTATGATTGAAAATAGACTTCCACACTTTGTGGGTGAATCATACTTTTTTTTTTTTTTTAAAAAAAACAACATACATTTTCCCTGTTGTAATTTGACAGAGTGTTTTTATCTTCTCATCAGCTTTCTATGATGTCTCTCTTACTCCTGGTTATTTCAGTTGCAAGTATACTGACGCTACTAGATCTAGCTTAAGTCAAAGGAGAAATTTGTCATAAGGAAGTATTTTCAAGATAGCAAATGCAGGAAGTTTTGCTGGGCCTTATAAGGAAGAGGGAACTGAAAAGCTATGGGGACCCATAGTTTGCACACACTCTCTCTCTTCTCTTCTGTGGCATTCTTTTCTCCTACAGCAAATCAGCTTTCTGTGCAAGAATGAAGATAGTAACCTCATAGTGGCAGCCTTAACTTTACAGTATGGGTAACCTCATTTCAAGTGAACAGAAAAGTCTGATTTGCTGTTTTTGAATCCCAACTCCAAATTCCCCAGGAGCGAGACTCTGATGGCTCAGCTTGGTCCAGTCAAGGGGTGTGGGAAGCAGGGTCACAAACTAGAACATAGGTGCCAGAGGCTGGCTACTCTGGGTGAAGAGGACCGTTCTCAGCAAAGAGGACAGAATCCTTAATCTAAATTAGGACTCAGGAATTAAGTCTCTGAGTCTCTGTAAACTAACAATTATGCTAGGGTTTTTTTTGTTTTTGTTTTTTTTTTTAATTTTTTTGGAGATGGAGTCTTGCTCTGTTGCCCAGGCTGGAGTGCAGTAGCGTGATCTCAGCTCACTGCAACCTCCGCCTCCCAGGTTCAAGTGAATCTCCTGCCGCAGCCTCCTGAGTATCTGGGACTACAGGCACATGCCACCATGCCTGGCTAATTTTTTTGTATTTTTAGTAGAGACAGGGTTTCACCATGTTAGCCAGGACGGCCTCGACTCCTGACCTTGTGATCCGCCTGCCTCAGCCTCCCAAAGTGTTGGGATTACAGGCGTGAGCCGCTGCGCCTGGCTGAAATTTTGTTTTTAAGAGTGAATGTTGGTATAAATCCTTTCACACACACAAAACATGTTTTTAGTGAATAGGCAACTATATGTCTACTGGTTTTATTTTTTTAAAGTAGGGCATAGTTATAATTGACATTTTACATATTTTGCCAAATAATTATCCTCACTTGAAAGAGGTTATTAATTCTTGGCTTACAAAGGGAAAATGGTTTTGGTTTTCAAGCACCAAAGTTTAATACATCCAGTTATCTCAAGGGAATGAGGGATCTGTTCACTAGGAATATCGTTTTTATTTTTCCTTTCCTTTTTGTGATTGAAAGGAAGGGTAAGAGACAAGGATATGCTGAAGTACAAAGGAGGTTTTGGAAAATTCCTTTGCCATAGCCAACCAAATTTTGGAATAAATGGTACTAAAATATCTGGATGATTTGTAGTAAAAAACATTGCTTGCATGTCTGTCTACTTGATTAATACCCCTTGCCTTTGTCTTTTGGTTTATAATCCTACATTTGGAATAAATAAGCCTCTCTCCATAGTTTATTCCTTTCTGCCTTCAGAAAAGTACACCTTCCCTATTTTGGAAAGAAACTAACTCCTGGCCTCTCCCCAGTCCTTTGGTTTTGAGCCTGTTTCCCTTTCCAAGGACTTTCCTGCATCTTTTTTTTGTATGCTCAATTTATGTCCCCCCTTAAGAATGATGTTTTCACAATCTCATCATTTAATGATATAGTTCTATTTTTTAAAATTCAGATGGAGATCTTCACATTTATCTCTATTACAACTCAGCCCTTATCCTACCAGCCCACACAGTCCTGTGTAGTGCAATAAACTGTGACACATACTTCAATCTTCCTAATAAAATTAAACAAATTTCTTACACCTCCCAGCTTGGTTATATCTGTAAATTGGTCCTGCCACAGATATAATAGGCATTTGATAACTGTGCTAAGGGTTTTAAAATACTTTTTCACCTAATCTTCAAAATCTCTCTACAGGGGAGATTATTATCCTCATTATACTGATGAGGAAACAGAGGCTTAGAAAATCTAAATAAACTTTCCTGGCAAAAGCTGTGATTGAAAGAAACCTGGGTGGTCTGGACTCTAAAGCGTAAGTTCTTAAACTCTTGGCCATGGATTTTCAACTGTGGCTTTATGTCAAACCACCTAAAAATGTTAAAAAGATATAGAAGCCAATGTGCCATCTCACACTTACTGAGGCAGTCTTGTTGTGGTTGGGGGCGGGTTTGGGCATAGCAGTCAAGAATCACCGCTGCCATGCTGGCCAACACTGGAAGGACAAAAGCTCAAGACACTACACACAGCCCCACAGTCAACAGCTAGCTGTTAATTTTTCCCATTGGATCTTGCCACAAAGTTTTGAATCTAAATGTGTTACCTTACAGCTCATATTTCTTGTTTCTTCATATTGTGTGAATGTTCTGAAAGACTTGGTCAAATTCCTTGGAATTCTTTCCATCATTATCAAAGAATAGGGGAAATTTCCTGAAATGTTTGCCTTGAGGAGCAAATTTCTAGTGATGCCACTACCAGGAATCACATAAAGAGCTCAAAAGTTCTGTTAATACCCAGAGTGAAAAAAGCTCAACATTCCAGGGTAGCATTGACTTAAAATCATGTCTTAGTGATGAGGGAGGCTTTCACTTTCTGAATGACAGAAGGCAAGTTGCTTCATCTTTCTCTGTGGGTAGACAGAAGATTTCTCAATTCTATAGGCTTAGGAATAATATACCCCTTGTCCACCTTGTCTTCCATACCCACATCTGTAATATTAAGAAAATACTCTGCTTCCCCACAAAAATATCCTCAATATTCACCAATTCTAAATGGCTTCTCCCTGCAAACAGGCTGTGGATAGTAACAGATACCATGCCTAGTTACATAAGCATATCACTGCAAAATATAGAAACATCACTTATAATGGAAATAATACTGTTTCAGAGTTCTAAAACAAGCATTTTTTTCCCCTCACAAAAGATCACATTTCCATTTCTACAGTTCTGATGCTTTTCATTTAACCATGACATTAAGGTCATCTTCAGCTCTCCTTCCTTGTGTGGGTCTGTGTTCTAGCTTTTACCCCAGTAACAGTTTTTGTTTGCAGGAAAATAAAAAGAACTCTTTTGGTAGTCTTTGTTTGTAATTGCAGCCTTGATATTCTAAGCCACTGAGTCACAATTAATAATTAGAAATTCTAATTAACTTTGCCCATATATTGCCTATGAAGCAGTTGCCGTAGGAATGCAATTTTCCTGTAAATCCCTCCCTCTTACACAGCTCTAGTTCATTATTTACTTTAAAAGAGTCAGGGTGAATTCAAGTCATTTCCTATGCTGCTATCATTTGCTTAAAGACCTTTTGCAATGGGTCTTATGTAAGAAGAAATGCAGGAGTTGCTTTGGTGAGGTTTAAAGAAACCAGTAAGTACAAGACGGACCTGAATAGCAGCATCACTTGTGTATGGGGAAACAGGAGCTATGAATGCGTCACTTCATTTAGGTTGACAGAAAGAGGGCTAATACTTGAAAAAAGCCCTACACGATCTGTTGCCAGGCTACTTCTTTGGCCTCACTTCTTACCACTGCCCCCCCCTTCAGTGTCCTCCAGCCACAGTGATCTCTTTCCTGATCCTTGAACCTGCCAACACATTCCCTTCTCAAGGTCTTTGCTTTCAGGAGTCCCTCTGCCTGAAATTGTTTTCCCAGATAGTCATGGGACTGGTTCATTCTCATCCTTTAGATCTCTGCTCAAATGTCATTTATTCTAGGAAATCATTCCTGGCCACCATGAAACAGCACAGCCCCTCTTCACTTTCTACTCCTTTTCTTTGTTATTATGTATATGGCAGCAGAAAATTACGCATTTTCTTAGTGGCAATTACACACCCCGCACATTATGCATTTAAAGCGTTGTTATTTTGTCGCTTCCATCAGAATACAATCCAGTAGGGCAAGGAGTGTGTGGGGTAGTGTTCACTTAGTATCTTTGGGGACTTACAGCCTGGCACCTAGTAGACACTCGGTAAATATCTGAATAAATGAATAAGGTCCTTTGGCAGCCGGGAAGCCCGTCACAGCCATTGTCTCCACCCTCTCCTGAGCTACACCAAGCTACGCCGGTAAAGTTATTTCTCCTCTAGGAGAAACATTCGCTAGGCCTTGTCGCCAACCCGCAGACAGCTGGGCGCTTCATCCCACCTTCACCCCTTTCCAGCCAGGTGCCTGATTGGAGTCAGGCGCTGGAGGTCGCATTGCCACGAAACAGCGCGTGTAAGCTCGTTGTCCCCGGCCCCCGGCGCCACTTCCCCTCCGCCTAGCAGCCTGGACTGGGGAAGTACAGGTCTGCTGTACCCGGGAAGTGGAAGGAAAAGCAGAAAGCGGACAAGTGTGCGGGAGGGCAGTCTCCATGCGGAGGCAGCCCGGCCTCCTCCGGTGCAGGCTGTGTTCTGGAGGGGCGGGCGCCAGTCAGGCTGACTCACTCCCGGCCGCTTCCCTGGCGGGCGGCGGCCACACACACACACCCGCCCATCTAGTGAAGCCCGGGCCCAGCGCTGGCACCTAGCTCCAGCCAGGCACCAATGTTTCGCGAGGCGGCGCCGCCGCCTTAACTTCCTTGCGCGCTCACGCCCAGGGGCAGTCCCAGGAATCTCCACGCGCGCCCGCCGGCTTCCCGAGAGGCCGCCGCCCTGCGTGGCCCGCGCCCGCAGGTCCCGCGGCCAGCACCGAGGGGCGCACGCGCACTGCGGAACACGCGTCCGGCTCTCCCCCAGCGTCTGTCCGGCCCAGTCTCCTGCCAGTCGGGGAGACTGCAGGCCAACCTGGAAGCTGAGTTCGAAGCTAATAGGGCGACCAAGTCAGTGTCGCCCGCGGCATTGAGAAGACGGTTTGGCCCAGGAGAGGGTGGAGACAACTGTGACGGGCTTCCCGGCTGCCCGAAGTGGGAGTGGTGTGGGGCTGCAGGAAGGAGAGAGGAAGAGGAGCAGAAGGGGGCAGCAGCGGACGCCTCTAACGGCCTCCCTCGGCGCTGACAGGCTGGGCCGGCTCTCGGCTCGCTCGGGTGTTCTCGTCGTCACTTCGGCCCCTCGGCCGCTCGGGCCCCTCGGCCCGGGCTTGCGGCGCGCGTCGGGGCTGAGGGCTGCCGCGGCTCAGGGAGAGGCCTGGTCCTCGCCGCGGAGGGATGTGAGTGGGAGCTGAACCCACACTGGAGGGCCCCCGAGGGCCCAGCCTGGAGGTCGCTCAGAGCCGTGCCCGCCTCGGGGCTTCGCAGACCTTGGCCCGCCGGGTAGGAGCCGCCCCTGCGGGCTCAAGGGCGCACTCTGGTCGCCCCATCTGTGTAACCGGTGGGTGTTATCTCTGCCTGGCTTCTGGGTGGGGGGCAGCAGTTGTCTCTCCACCCCGTTCTTACCTTCTGATCCCGCCTCCCCCCTGCTAGTGGCAGCAAACTTCTGAGCCAGAAAAATCTTCCTCTTTAAGACGACACCTAGAACGAGTCTTGCTAGTGATATTTACTTCCATTTGTGTCTTATAATTCCCGCACCCCCCACCTCCTTATTCCTTTTTAAAATTTTCTAGACACTTAAACAGCCTAGAGAAAGCATCTGTTTCTCCTGGACTTATGTGGTAGTAGTAACTGCTGCTTTTTTTTTTTTTTTTAAGGTTCAAAAAAAAGCAAAAAGAAAAAAAAGGGAACCGGTTCCCCTCCGCAAAAAAAGAGGCTCTTCCTCCTCCTCCCGCGACGGTGGGTGTGCTGTCCTTTATCGCTGCAGTAAAGGCGAAGAAGGTGTCGCGAGCTGGGAGTGCGTGCGTAGGAAGGCTGGAAGCGTGTGAAGACAGGCAGGGCTCATTGTTGCTTACTCCTCTGAAAATGTCAGTGCTAAACTTTTAATGTTGATATGCGAGAGTAATTTTGGGGTGTTTTGTTCGTCTTGGATCCTTTAAGAAACATTTTTTTTTGTTGGCTTTACACATAACATGACTTTGCAGAGAAATGTAAAACGTTGTCCATTACCCTTTCTTCTTAAACGGCCAGAGGTTCTTAATCCTTCAAAGAGGAATATTTCCAACCAATAAGAGATAGCTTTTGTGAGAACACGTTAGCTATTCTTGCTGGGGTTTCTGCTACCACACTGAATGCTTCCTGATGGTTTTATCTGCCTAAGCTTGTTGTGTCGGTTGAATTTACCCAGTTTGTTTTCCGGTAATCACTAATCTGTCAGGAGAAACTCCATTTCTCTGAATGAAAGGATAGTAGCGGCTTAGTATGGAGAAGGAAACTAGAAGTGGGAATAAGGGAGATGATTGCTCTTGGTTTCATAATAAGTTTTTACAGTGAGTTGGGCTACTGCAAATAAATATTTTGTATCCCTTCTCCAGAATGCTTGGGACCAGAAGTGTTTTGGATTTTTTTTTTTTTTAAATTTTGGAATGTTTGCATATACAAAATGAGCTATGTCAAGGATGGGACCCAACTGTAAATACGAAATTCATGTTTCATATATACCTTATTCACACAGCCACTAAGTCATTTGCAATATTTTTACATCTGTGCATGAAACAAAGTTTGTATTAAGTACTTATGCAGGGAATTTTCCCCTTGTGGCATCATGTTGGTGCTCAAAATGTTTCAGATTTTGGAGCTTTTCAGATTAGGGATGTTCAACCTGTATTTTGATATAACACCCAGAACATTTGAAGATGAATAATCAATTTTTGACCTCCCTTCCCCCATCCGCCTCACCGTATACCACTTTAAGTGTGAGAATTATTTGCTTGTACATGCATTTGTCTGTTGGTGTGTAATGTATGTACAGATTGGATGTATCCAGCACTTGCCTTAATAGTACATATATTTACCTGAATAGGAAAACTGCAGTACTTGCTGGCTAGAAGAGCACACCATGCTTGTTTTTGCTCTGACTGAATATCCTGTATTTGCAATTTATAGCATGTTTTAGGGACTCATTAGGGATTTTTGTGTGTGTGTGCCTTTGGTGATTTGAGACAGGTGTCTCAGATATGGGAAAGGAATATGACATTGTTTCTTTGCTTCACCTGGCTATTGCTGAAAGGTGGGATGGTTTTGAGGCAGAATAGGAAAGTGCATTGGCTTTGGAGTGAGATCTGGATTTGAATCCTGATGTTCTTGCCACTTAAGAGTTGTATTTGCGGCCGGGCATGGTGGCTCACGCCTGTAATCCCAGCACTTTGGGAGGCTGAGGAAGGAGGATCACTTGAGGTCGGGAGCTCGAGACCAGACTGGCCAACATGGTGAAAGCCCATCTCTACTAAAAATACAAAAATTAGCCAGGCGTGATGGTGCACACCTGTAATCCCAGCTGCTCGGGGGGCTGAGACAGGAGAATTGCTTGAACCTGAGAGTTGGTGGTTGCAGTGAGCCGAGATGGCACCACTGCACTCCAGCCTGGGCAACAGAGTGAGACTCTGTCTAAAAGAAAAAGAAAGAAAGAAAAAAAGAGTTGTATTACTCTTTTAGCTGCACTTTCTTATAAGATTGTTGTGAGAACTGGGTAAGACACATGCCAAGTGGTAAATTGCTTGGCTCTCATAAAAGTCTTGGCTACTATCGTGGCTGGGAGGCAAAGGAGATTCAGAGAAGGCCAGAATGACTGCATAAGGTGATCTGCCAGTAACTAGTGTTTCTTGTTTCTTCCTTTCTAGTATAAAGAGATAAAGGACTTTAAGGTTTTAAGCTGGTGAGGGGGTATTGTAGCCTTTGTATGGAAAGGTTTGACTTTTGTCTCTGTGCTTAAACCCCCATTGTGTTGCCCCTAGCAATTATTGTGCTGCCCCCTTGTGGTTAACTGTGCTAAGAACTTTCTTTTGCTCCTCCCCCATTACATTTCTCACCCTTCCCCACTCCCTTTTAGACCCCTCCTCTTAGCTCCCAGTTTCCCAAACTGTGTGCCAAGGTGCCCAGAGCGCCTTAGGCTTGAACTTTTGTTTTGAGGTAATTCATGGTTTCAACATTAGCTACCTACATCCGTTTCCACAGTGTCATGTCTTTGTAAAGATGTATTTTCAGAGGTTGCTCTGATAAAAAGCAACTAGTACATGAAAATGAATGTAGAACAGGAAATGACTGTGTGGTATTGTCCAATTTGATTTTAAGGTTTGATAAGTTCTACAGTGCTCAAGAGACACTAAGTTGTTAGGACATAACTACTAAGTAAGTTGTTCGAACCTATTTCTTTTGGCCTAGAGGTGTCATGAAAAATTTGCTAAGACTCAGGGCTCCCTGAATGGGTTTGGAAACCTCTGCCTTAGCTTTTAGTTTGCTTTTCTGATAAAATTATTGATATAAAGCTAGTATCAGCTGATCATGGCTTAATATATTTAATCTCCTGTGTAATATGTTTATAACTTCTGCCCGGTTCTTTGATTTTAAAACTAATCCTATTGCTAACTTGTTGTACTAGTCACTTCCTGATTTTTCCTGTACTGGTCTTCTGCTTCTATTTCTGTTCATCTCCTTAAACTCAGAATGTCCAAAGTGAAAGTTACCATTTTCTACCTCTTAATTTTCTTCTAATCATGTAGGCTTTAAATTAGGCATCATCTTTAAACTACTTTTTTCATTTACGTCTTATTCCCATTCAAAATGTCCATATTTCCTTTCTTTCTCGTATCTCTGCTTTCCCTCCTTTACTGTGTGAATCCCAGGACACATTTCCTGAGCCTCGAATATTGAAAGTCATTTGAACTTATGAGAATTCAGTGTCTCTTTCGTTTATCCTCAATAGAGATTCCACTCTAATACTCCTTATTATAGTATTCCCTTGCCCCAAAATCTTCAGTGGCTTACCATTTTCTACTTATTAAATTTTCCTGTCTTTTAAGATAGTCTATTATCAATCCCTGCCCTATTTATTTAGTCTTTTGTCTAAGGATCTCTAATCCTTCAGCTTATAAGCTGATTTCCACACTTTCTAGTAACAAGCTATATGTTTCTTCTCTCCTTTAATTTTTGCTTATGTTCTCCATCCCTCTTTTTTTCCTCTATTTCTGTAGCTCTTTAGTCTTAGAACATCTTCACATGGTTTAATTATATGCCATGCTTTAGTTGTTTATGATAGTTATTTCCCTAGTGTTAGCCATATCTTCTCAAGTTGATTGTGTATTCTTTGAGGAACAGTACCTTAGATTAAAAAAAAAAACACACACACACACACAATGGAGAGCACGTGGGCAGCATTCAAGAAATAATACTTGTTGGTTGTGTGATAAGGAACTGTAGTCACCAAACAAGTATTTGTTAATATTTGCAATGTAAAAGGTACTTGGCTGTATCCAAAAGAGAAACAGAGAAATACAAAAGAGGTTCCTTTCCCTAAGGACTTACAGTATAATTGGGCAGATAAACTAAGTAATAAAAGTTACAGATATTTGAGACCACTTCGAGTTGAGCAGATATTTTGTATAATAGGAAGGAACTGGTAGAGGGGGTAAGCAAAGGCAAAATATGTATATATGTATGATATGTTCAGAGAGCAGTACATAAACAACTTGACTGAAATGAAGGTTTGTGTGAAAGAGTAGTAAGAAATTGTGTTAAAAATGTAGTTGGAATTTGATTATGGATGTCTTTAAATGCTAGGATGAGAAGAATGTACTTTGACCTGTAGATACGGAGAAGCTTTAAAAGTTTTGAATTGAGAAAGAGTTTGCTGAAATAAATATTTTAGGAAAATCAAAGCAGCACCAGTGCTAGATCTCACATGAATTGGAAAGAGAAGTGGTAGAGAGAGGTAGGAAAATAATTGAGCCCTGACGTAATGAGGACTTGGACTTAGTAGAAATAAGTCAGATTGCAGAGATGTCACAAGACATTATTATGGATTGAATAAAAAGGGAGAATGGACGGGAGAAGAGTGATTAAAGATTACCTTACCTTGAAGGTTTGCTCTTCAGTGACAGAGGAAATCAAAGAGTGTTGGAACTCCAAGACAGCTTAGAACATCTAAGTCAGTCTATATACTTTGTATATTAGGACTCAGACCAGAGAGACTTAAAATGTGTCCAAAGTTACTCAGTTAATGACAAAGAAACTGCCATGTGATTAATGGCAGTTAGTAACAAAAATAGTTATGGCAGTATTAGTAGCTGGTAGAGGGGATGTAGACAGTTGAGCCTATATTGTGGATATGTTGAGTTTGCGATGGCCGTGGGATGGGCAAGTGAAAATGGATAGCCTACAGTGGGACATATGACTAGAATTTGTTAGCGAAATTAAGGCTGGTGCTGTGGTACTTAAGAGAAAAGAGTAGTGGACCTGAGATTGAGCCTTGGGGATTGTGCATAATTAGCAGGTGGGTGAAAGGAGAGAAATGGGTAAAGGAGACAAAGAAAAAATAGTATGAGAGAGGCAAATTAGTGGATAGGTTAGGAGGTGGAATGATCAACATGTTGGTCATTGGCAAGAAATGAGAAGAATCAGATCCAATAAATGGTCTTAAAAATATGTACTAGTGTTTTTGCTAATATGAAATCTATAAAAACAGAAGAAAATTGCTTATACTTTCCCTATGTGGAAATAGCCACTGTTAATATTTTGTTCTCTTCGGTTTAACCAAAGACCTTTGGATTTGACAGTTGGATGATCAGTGAAGACTTTTCCAAAGCTCTCCATCACTAGGACTAAGGATGAGAATTTTAGGCATAATAAAACCTGGGAGGTATTTTTCAACAGATTGTCATTTGTTTGTATCCTCTTACATATCA